TATATATATATATATATATACATATATATATACATATATATCCCCATCCCAGTTGTTTTGTTGTGTTTGAGAGGTGGGAAGAAGCCCATCCCAGTTGTTTTTGTTGTGTTTGAGAGGTGGGAAGAAGCCCATCCCAGTTGTTTTTGTTGTGTTTGAGAGGTGGGAAGAAGCCCATCCTAGTTGTTTTTGTTGTGTTTGAAAGGTGGGAAGAAGCCCATCCTAGTTGTTAGAACAATTTTCTGAAAGCAGATAGTCCGAGTGATGTTTTGACCGCTTTGCAGGCAATAGAGGTCAGAAAGATGGCACCAGTGACAGGGCTTCAGCGTCATATGAGGATGTGTGCGGTAGCCTGGGGAAAAAAACTGCATGAGGAAAGTCAGAAAATACAATCACAGGCTCAACGGAGCAAACAAGAATGTGAGGACCGCCTGCTTGTTGAATGAACGGCACATTCAGTCGCTCGCTCAGTTTGGGAGAATGAGCAGGGTAGTTGAGGGGGCGGTGGAGCAGGTGTACCGGTTGAAGCGAGGAAAATTCAAGAGAAAGAAAGCGTCGGTGTCTGGTTTGCAGCGCCGAATGTGGGTTTGTGCGACTGCATGGAAAAAGTGTGTGGAAGAAGTTCAGGAGAAAGATAAGCGGTGGTTGCAACAGAGGCAGTTGTTGTTTGATGCACAGACAGAGTGCATACTGCAGAAACAGCGTGAGGGTGCGGTCGGGCAAATATGCAGGCTTAAAAGGGAAAAAATTAGAAAGAAGAAGCGTGATGTTTCGCCGGAGCGAGTCGGAGCTTATGTTGCAAGGTTGGATGACGGATGGGATCCGTCGAGTTGGGACGGTGGCATCTCGGGAGACAAGGAGGTTGTTTACTTGTCTAAAATATCACAACCCACAGATGCTCGAGTATCTAGGCTGTTGGATAAAGGTGGAGGTCAGGTAATGAATTCAGCGCATCGAGTCAGAGCTTTGCAAGACTCGAGACCGTCGTTTGAAGTTTGTGTAGAGACAGCTTGACAGATAGCATCGGATTGGTCTGATTTACAGGGGCATTGGGTGACCCTAGGGGAGTGCGAGCAGAGATTGGTTCGGCTGTGTGTGAGGAATGCACTCGCTGTGCGTTGGGTTGTAGATTATCATCTACATGTTTTTTCAAGGACTGATGTTCAAAGCAGAGTGTTGGATTGGAACACAGAGCTAAAAACCGTGAAAAAAAAAAAATTAGTCAATCCATGGGTCGTGGGCCGAGAAAGGACGGCCGGAAAAACATGCAGGAACCTACTCGTTCTGCTTTCTGGAGGGCATTAATACAGGCAGGAGTGCCTGCAGCTGAGATGGATGATGTGTCAGCAGAAGAGCTGAGGGCTGGAAGCCATTATTTGGATTAAAGGGGCATCGTATGTTGTTTGGATGTGTTAAGCTGGTTGCTTTGAAGAAAGTGCATCGTATGTTGTTTGGATGTGTTAAGCTGGTTGCTTTGAAGGAAGTGCAACATATGTTGTTTATAAATGGATCATCTGCAGCTATAGTTTTGACGGCATCTAAAACAACTCGAAGTATCTAAAAATATCTGAGAAAAAAAAAGAATTCACCATCTTGTTTTGCAGATGTTTCACATTTAAAGTGAAAGTTCAGCTCTTTTCAAGAGGGGTTCTGTGGAAAAAGTTAACACCTCAGTTTGGAAAAACTGATGAGCTAAATATTCTGAGTGGGGCCAAGACTAGAAGAAGGATTTCTTTTTAATAAATAAAAGTTAATTGTTGACACTTTTTGCATGAAGTGGTTATGTATGAAGAATTGTTTGATTAGTTGTAGAACAAGACAGATGATGAAACTGCAATACAACAATGTGAAGATATATATATATATATATATATATATATATCATGTCATCATTAGAAAAGAGGGTCACAATAGTAAATGCAGGGACAAATAGAGGAAAGGGGCCATATCAGATCTGGCAAATGGATTTCATTGGCCCTTTGCCATGTCACAGGGGTGTAGATATGTATGTACGGCTGTAGATACATATTCAGGTGTGTTGGTGACTCATCCTTGTAAATATACAAATCAGACATCTACTTTAAAATGTCTTAGTATGATGAAATAATTTTATGGGGTTCCCCTTCAGATACAAACAGATAATGGGACCCATTTTACTGGAAAACAGGTGAAAGACTGGTCAGCTGAAAAAAAACATGTTGAATGGATTTATCATATTTCCTTATCACCCACAAGCTGCTGGGCTGATTAAGAGAATGAATGAACTGTTAAAAAAAAAAAATGCTGAGAAAATGAAAAACATGATTTGACAAACTGGAAAGTAAATTTGTTGCAGGCTGTGTTTCAATTGAATAACAGACCCATTGTACCAGGCACCACTCCTTTAAATTGATGTGGAAAATTGATGACAGAGCAGAGCTGCCTGTCAGAGCAACTCCTGGATCTGCTAGACTAGTTCTGAGGACTCTAGAGCCAGTGATATTGATGTCAGGTCAAATTCAAGTTATAAAATTGGTCTGGGTCTGCAATATCCCAGAGGCAGGAGAAGAAAAATGGGTAAATGTACCAATTCATGTGTTATTAAAGAGAAAACTAATTCTTCTCTCTTTTTGTTGAAAGCAGTTTTCTTGCCTCTACAGCTTGATGTTTCATTGATCTTTGCGGACTGGATGGAGAGAGGACAACATGAGAAGCTGGTGACAAGGTGCCAGTCAGATGGGAGTGCAGGCTGTTTGGGCATCACGTGCCTTGTCGCTGATGGACAACGCCTCATCAGCAACACCAGGACGTGTCTTGGAGGAGGATCAGGTGTTCACGTTTGGTTGAAAAGATGCAAGCAAGATCTGAGTGCAAAGTAACTTCACATGTTTGAAACACAAAAAGCTGCCTGATAGGGCACGACAGTTGTGCCCTATGTACGAGTGTCGGGCATGCTAAACCAGATGAAAAAAAAAGAACGAAGTTTGATTTTACTGCCAATTAAGGAGAAGGAGGAGACGTGCTTCGTTGGCAGTTATCCAAGTTGGAGTCTGGATGCCATCCGTTGTCATGACTCAAGAAGAAACGGCCAAAATACTGATAAAAGAAATAAACTGGCAGCTGAAGATGTGGGGGAGCACAGAAGAAGTGCTCTCCAACATAATTGAAGCTTTGAACTTGTTTTCCTGTGTACCTTGCAATTTTTCCATGCACAGCTGCAGAAGGAGCGCTTCCAAAGGGTGGTGACCACATCGAATCATGATTGATTGGAGGAGAGTATGGAACATTTCCAGTTCCTACTGGGTAATTTTGAAACCTGAATTGACAAAATGTAATGAAGGCAACCACAGTTATGCAAATATCACATTTTGCCTTTAATAACTGTACAAGGACACTGGTTTTAAAAAAAAATACAGGGTGAGTGGTTTGAGCCACAGACAAATCTCACATATAACATGCAATTATGTGAGACAGCTGATAAAGGAGTGATATGTATGCTGAAATTAGGTCATGTTAACCCATGTTTAACCAGAGACAAGGTATTGTGTGATTGGACTCATGAACTAGGCTAGAGAACTAGTTTGATAGCAACAATAAAAAGTCATCCTCAATTACCTGAGGTGCCTTTTTCTGGATGTGTGTATGGTGTACATCTGTGGACTTGGAGCAACCAGACTTATCAATTAACTAATTATAGTTCCACCACTCGACTAACAGAGGTACAATGGCAAACTTTGCACGTACCCTGGCGAGTCTCCCTAGACCGTTTCAAAATGCGCATTGAAATGGGTCTACAGAGCTGAAACGAATGATTGAATCTCATAAGTCTAAACGTGTCTGATCTAACAGTGTCCACCTGCATGGCTCAAAGAGAGGTTTTTACATGTGGCTAAAACTAATAGTGTAGACGTTGGCTCACCATTGGTGGGATATATTCGCAGGAATATTATCTACGGCGCAAAAAATATGCAGTATCTCTTTTGCTTGTTTAGTAAAAAGAAGAATAACTAGTTTGATCTATATCCTGATGCATGCTCAATAATCCAGGTAGAAAAATCTAAAAAAGTTAAATCTGGTCCTCTGGACATTCAAAAAAAAACCAAAACAAAGCAAATCAACAAAAAAATGTAGAAACGTTTCGTCTCTCATCCGAGAGACTTCCTCAGTCTGAGGAGCTGTATTCAGCTCAGTCTCTTAAATAGTGGACAAGGTGAGGGATGTCATCATGGAGACTGATGAAACAATGGTCTCTTTTGATGTCACATCACTCTTTACGTGCATTCCTGTTGATGATGCAGTAGAGGTGGTCAGTTTAAAATTAAAATCAGACACCACTCTGAGCAGCAGGACCACACTTTCTACAGAACAACTGTGTCAACTCTTGAAACTGTGCCTACAGTCAACCTACTTCACATATGGGGAGCAATATTATAGGCAGAAACATGGGTGTGCTATGGGGTCTCCAGTTTCTCCTATTGTTGCCAACCTGTACATGGAGGAGGTAGAAAAGAGAGCCTTGACGTCCTTTTCAGGGACACCACCAAGTCATTGGTTCAGGTATGTTGACGACAC